TGCCAAGTGCACATATGAACACCCTTATGCCTGAACATGGTGTTCATTATGGACAATCCATGACGTGCACAGAATTCCAACAACAAAACACCGCTCGGGTTCAGATCGGGGGAGCCGTTCCTCCCAATCACGCCACTCCAGGTCTCATTGTCATTGCCCACTTGGGCATTGAAGTCCCCCAGTAGAACAAGAGAGTCCCCAGGAGGAGTGCTCTCCAACACCCCTTCCAAGGACTCCAAAAAGGGTGGGTATAATCTGGACTGGTGCATAAGCACAAACAACAGTCAGGACCCGTCCCCCCACCCAAAGGCGAAGGGAGGCTACCCTCTCGTCCACTGCGGTAAACCTCAATGTACAGGCGCCCAGCCAGGGGGCAATAAGTATTCCCACCCCCGCTCGGCGCCTCTCCCCGTGAGCAACTCCAGAGTGGAAGAGGGTCCAACCCCCTTCGAGGAGACTGGTTCCAGAGCCCAAGCCGTGCGTGGAGGTGAGCCCGACTATGTCTATTTGGAACTTCACAACCTCGCACCCCAGCTCAGGCTCCTTCCCCATCAGAGAGGTGACATTCCATGTCCCTAGAGCTAGCTTCTGCAGCCGAGGATCGGACCGCCAAGGTCCCCGCCTTCGGCCACTGCCCAGCTCGCATTGCACCCAACCCCTATGGCCCCTCCTATGGGTGGTGAGCCCATTGGAGGGGGGACCCACGTGCCTTGTTCGGGCTGTGCCCGACCAGGCCCCATGAGTACAGGCTTGGCCACCAGGCGCTCGCCATCGAGCCCCACCCCCAGGCCTGGCTCCAGGGGGGGGCCCCAGTGACCCGCGTCTGGGCAAGGGAAACCGTGATTCCACTATTTTTTTCATCATAAGGGGTCTTGTGACATGCTCCATCCTACACAACATAGCCACCATCAGAAAAGAGAGGGCCCCTGAGGTGGTGGTGCAGCCTGATGATGACCTTGACCAACCCAGCAGCACAGCAGCCAGAGACCAAATTGTGGCCCGATATTTCCAGAAATGACAACACAGTCGTTTCACACAAATGTTACCTTTATTGTGAAGT